GGGGCGATATGCTGACTCTGTAAACCGCTTAGAGAGGGCTGAAAGCCCTATGAAGCGGTATATAAGTCTAACTGCTATTGCTATTGCTACTAAGTGGTTTCTAAGTGTAAAGTAGCAGTGATTGGTGCCCTCTTCCCTTGATTCATCTCTTCCATGCTTATTAGGTAAGCATATGTAGATCAAAGAAGCTTGATCACCCCAGCTTCACACAATTTCCCTGCAAGTTTATGTTCTAGCCAGTTAAACCAGGCACTGAATCCATGGGGTCTCATTTCAACATCAGTCTAGACCAAATTTGGTAACTTTAAGGCAAATGGACTTTAATTCCCAGAACATGCTGGGCTGCGTAGTTCACATATCATAAACTTGCTAAGTTTGAATAACACTGGCTTAGAAACAAAGAAAGAAGGAACCTGATAGCAAGTTTGAAGACCGTCATGCTCCAAATATTGCATATCTTCTATTTTTAATCTGAAATTGTGGCACTGATGTCACCTAATTGAGTAATGAAACATTTGCAAGCAACCAAGCTCAGAAAGACCACAAAAGGCTCTATGCATTGGTGGGATCCAGGCAAGCCCAGCTGTCTTCTGAATCAGACTACGACATCAGGATAAAGTGAAGTGGCTTGGCCATCTTACTTCCATGCCCATGAACATCAGTGGTTTAGGAAAAGCAACGTCTGGGCTTTTCCTTCCAGCCTTATTTATAAGAAGACTGCCTTCAAGAGGTAGGGTTCAGCCAATAAACTCTTTTCAAGTTTGAAGAGGGCAAAAGGAAGATTTCTTTGGTTCTTGGGAGAAGAATTTATATCCCTCAGATCTGACTAGTCCTACATTTACAATCATGGTTTTAAAGGTGCTGTTATAATTTATCTATAGGTATCACATTCTAGTATTCTCCCTTTTTCAGAAACTGCAACAGATCTCCCAAAGAAGCCGGGCGCTGGACCTTTGTTTACAAGGCTTCCACATCCAAATACAGGCAAGGCCCACACTGTAGAATATTACTTGCTTAACACCATCTGATCTATTTTATTTCCATGTGTAGTCATAGTCTTGTCCTCCTAATGGTTACTATTATCACTTTGTCAGCTGAAACTTTAAAAGCTGACATGCTATGGTATACACACTCAATTGTTGTTTGATTATTTAATAGTGGAATAGTATGAATCATTTCCTCCGAGGTGGAGGTGGCGCAGTGGTTAAATGCAGCACTGCAGGCTACTTCAGCTGACTGCAGTTCAGCAGTTCGGCTGTTCAAATCTCACCGGCTCA